AACTTTTATTACAAATTGCAACTTTTATTACAAAAATTTCAACTTTTATTTTCAACTTAACAAAATTGCAACTTTTATTACAAAAAACTTTTATTACAAAAATTCAACTTTTATTACAAAAATTCAACTTTTATTACAAAAATTCAACTTTTATTACAAAATTGCAACTTTTATTACAACTTTTATTAAAAATTCAACTTTTATTACAAAAATTCAACTTTTATTACAAAAATTCAACTTTTATTACAAAAAAACTTTATTATTCAACTTTTTTACAAAATTGCAACTTTTATTACAAAATTCAACTTTTATTACAAAAATTGCAACTTTTATTACAAAAATTCAACTTTATTACAAAAAAACAAATTGCAACTTTTATTACAAAAATTCAACTTTTATTACAAAAATTCAACTTTTATTACAAAATTGCAACTTTTATTACAAAATTGCAACTTTTATTACAAAAATTCAACTTTTATTACAAAAATTCAACTTTTATTACAAAAATTCAACTTTTATTACAAAATTGCAACTTTTATTACAAAAAATCTACTTTTATTACAAAATTGCAATTTTACTGCAAGAGAAATTAGTGTTGATATTACCTAACGTTTCTTTCAAATAAAGTCTTACAAAACGCTAAGGATATAGCCCTACATAACTAAATAATATCATAAATAATAAAGTTCTTTAATAAATAATATCAGTTCTTTAAACGGAAATAATGTCTTTTTTTTTAGTTCATGTTGAAAATGAAAATTCCTACGATAAAAATCAGAATAAATCGAGAGGAAAAGACGATTTTTTTTAAAAATTCAAAGTCACTTCTTTAAATTCAAAGACAGTATTAAGAAATTAACCTCGTTCTCATTATTAGCAAAGAAATCTGGTGTTTAGAAAGTCATTTTAGCGAGGTTAAGATAAAAAAAAAGAATAAACAATGAATAAATAAAATAAAATCTATAGATTTCATTATTCCCGCCAAAATATGATTTGATGACTTTGAAAATCTGTTTTTCTTGGCATGCTTTTTTTAGAGAGAATACTCTTACTGGTAAATATGAAGAAAAAGTGTCATGATTACCTGCAAGAACTAAGAAGATGTTCTGATGACTTTGAAAATGTGATGTTCTCTTCTTTAGATACTTCTAGAATTAAATTATGAACAATGAAAAAAAAAAAAAAAATAGCCTTATAAGGACCTTTCATTCTGCGTAATTTACTGTCTATTATAAACAGGAACTTTCATTCTACGTAATTTATTGTCTATTATAACGAGGGGAAGTTCTGCCTTCTCCTTCGTGTTTTATTTACATCGTGAGCGTCTTTTTCTCTCACATAACGCTTGTATACTTTGCGGAATATATTATTATTTTTCTTCTTCTCGTCTGCATCGAAGCACCAAGAACGAAACAGGAAGGGAATCCCGCCATTTCTCCCCGCTCGTCTTTTTTTTTTTTTTTTTCTTCTTCTTCTGGGGCCGATTCCCGGTGTTTAAACGTTAATCCTACCGGTTCTGTGGCTTCCTTTTTCCTCCTAAAGCACTGTCTATTATAAGGTGGGGGGGTACTGTCTTCCCCCTCTCTCTCCCCTCTCCCCCATTCCTTTCTCTCTTCTCTCTCCTTTCCTTTCCCTGCTCTTCTCTCTCTCTCGCTCTCTTTCTTTTCTTCTCTCTATTTTTTCTCCCTCTCTTCTCTCTCTCTCTCTCTCTCACTTCCTCTCTCTCCCTCTCTCAGTCTCTTTCACTTCCTCCCTATCCCTCTTCCTCTCTCTCTCTCTCTCTCTCTCTCTCTCTCTTCACGCTCTCTCTCTCTCTATCTCTTAAACGTTAACCTTACTGGTTTTGTGATCTTTATCCCTCGCCCTTGCAGTGAAGAGGTGTCTGATTACTGAAATGGCTCTTCCACCCTCTTTCACTACGAAAGTTAATCAAACCTGGTGTAGCCTTAACTGAATCAACTGGTATTCTAGTTATGCTCTCAGTAGGTCGCATCCAGCTCTCTACTTGTATCTCTTCAGTGGCAATGTAGCTGAAATTTTCTCGTAGCAGTTTCTACTTGAAATAATCAACTACCCAACTAATAAATAATCAATCAATAAATAAAATATAATCAATACCCAACTGCATGGAGGAAGAAGCTTCGCGACTCTAATTGGTTGTTGCGTCACCTCGTCAACTCATGTAGACTACCTGTCGTTCATCTATTGATCTACTTCACTGAGTGTATTGATAACCAAACTGTCTCCTCGTAGATCAAACATTGCAGTGAAAGCTCAAATGATTAGAAATTCACCATCGAAACCCCATCCCCTTTCTCCCTTTCACAGCTTACGATATTTTCCTATTGTTTTACACCCATAGTTTGTGTACTTGAAAAAAAAAGACTTCCACACACAAGGAGAGAACGTTTTAGATAAAATGGAAATAAGAGAAAAATAGATATGTAAAGAAACAACCATCCAAACGAAATAATATTTGATATTTACCTGCGACAGTGTAAATTAGCTAACTAGCCTTTAATACAAGGGAACTGCAATTATCTAGTTAAAAAAGATCGACACCTGTATAAATTCAGGAACAGAGAAATCATCATATGAACAAAAAAAAAAAAAAAAAAAGTATATATCATTTTTTTTTTTTTTTTTTTTTTTTTTTTTTTTTTTTTTTTTTTTTTTTTTTACAAGCAAAGTCCAAGACCGTATTCAGTAAGACGAAACAAAAACAACAAAGAAAATATCTTTTTTTCATCCATCTGTTGATAGGATTTCATCATGTTATTCACCTTCAAGGAAAATTAGACCAAAATAGTTTGTTGACCCAACATGTGAGATGAGCAGCAAGTAAGCATGTCAGAGGGGCCTGGTGCTCGGAGCGGAAGGGTTGGCAACGCGGGAAAGGCGAGATCAGTAGCAACTCGAGGTGTCATGGCGTCTGTTTTGATGACTGTTCAATGAAAATATAGCCATTAAAATCATTATTTTCCATTCCTTATGAAAATAGAAGAGACCAAAATGATCGACCATATTCACAGAGCATCCGCAAATTTTGTGACGTCATTAAAATAAACCCCTTGTGCTTTTTTCCCCCAAAAACAGAATCAGAAGCCACGACACCTCCTCGAATTGCTGCTGATCTGGCCTTCCCCTTGGCCACAGAGCTCTGCTGGTTTTGTCAAGGCAGTAGACTCGTCAGCAGCTGTAATGAATGAAATGAATGAAATGAAAATGAAAAGCTGCAATGAAATGAAATGAATGAAATGAAAATCAAAAACTGCAATGAAAACCCACGCGGTCTGTGTGTTAGTCTACAGTTCCCATTATTAATGAACCTGCGTTGGCTGTGATGACTATCGACCGATGTTACATGACTAGGGTTCGTACAGACGCCATGTAGACCTAGATAATCGAGAAGGAAGGGGTGGGGGGTGGGGATGGGGGTCTTTCCTCGTAATCCCCATCCTACAGGCTAATCCCACGCTCATCACCTTATGTGGTGTCATTATAACAAATCATTATGTTCACTTTCTTTCCTCATAACCAGCCACGTGATCGACCCCCCTCCTCTCTCCCTCTCTACACACATCCTCATAATCCTATTACCACCTCTCCCTCTCTCTCCCTCCTCTACCCCTCTACCCCCACGACCCCCATCACCCTTTGTCTCGTCCAGGAATATGCCGCCCACGTATTTCAACTTCACGTATCCACCCACAGTACCTGTTAAGTAGCCTGACATCAGTCAAACGTATTCCTGGATTCAGCATTCCAGGAAAGTCAAAATACAGGAAGGGAAAAAAACTTTCCGTATTCATACACAGTCCCAAATAGGTGTCCCGAAGTCAGAGGAATGTATATATGGATTCAGAATTCCAGTTTCCAAGTCAAAATACAAAAAAAAAGGAAAAAACTTTGCGTATTCATACACAGTCCCAAATAGGTGTCCCGAAGTCAGAGGAGTATATATGGATTCAGAATTCCAGTTTCCAAGTCAAAAAAAAAAAAAGGGAAAAAACTTTGCGTATTCATACACAGTCCCAAATAGGTATCCCGAACCCAGTTAAATCTATTCCTGGATTTTAACATTCCAGATTTCAAGTCAAATTACAGATTTACAGAAAAAAAAACTGGAAGGGAAAGCTTTAATGTATTCATCCATAGTCCATATTTATCATTATATAATAACGTCTCATCCAGTAAGTCAGTCAGATGTATTCCCGGGTTTCAGCACTTCAGAATTCAGGTCAAAGATTTCAGTGAAGAGAAAAGACTGCAGAATGACAGCTTTGATATTCCTTAAAGTACCGACCTCGTCTTGTCTCTCTCTGCCCCAATTTGAATTCGTGTGTGTGTGTGTGTGTGTGTGTGTGTGTGTGTGTGTTTGTGTGTTTGTGTGTGTGTGTGTGTGTATGCATGTGTTTGTTTGTGTTCGTGTTTATTTATCGCCATATCTACAAATTTTCCGTCTTTCTCTCTCTTCCTTGCCCTCCCCACTCTTTCTCTTTCCCTCAATCCCTTCCCTTTCTCCCTCCCCCTCCCCCATTCCCTTTCTCTCTCTCCCTCCCCTCTCCCCGATCCCTTTCTCTCCTCTTCCCCCTCTCCTCCACTCTATTTCTCTTCTCTCTCTCTCTCCCCTTTCCCCTTTTCCCTCCCTCTCTCCTATTCCCTTTCTCTCTCTCCCTCCCCTCCATTCTTCCCTTTCCCTTTCTCCCTCCCTCTCTCCCATTCCCTTTCTCTCTCTTCCCCTCCTTCTTCCTTCTCATTCCCTTCCCGCCCTCCCTCCTTCTTTCCCCCTCTTCCCATTCCCTTTCTCCCTCCCTCTCTCACATCCCTTTCCTCCCTTCCCCTTCCCTCTCCCCCTTTCTTTCCTTCTCCTCTTCCCTTCCCTTTCTCTCTCTTCTCATTCCCTGCCTCTCCCATTCCCTTTCTCTCTCTTCCCCTCCCTCCCTCTCCCTCCTTTCTTTCCCTCTCCCTCTTGCCCCTCCTTTCCCCTTCCCCCCCAGATGGACAACCGGGGCCTAACCAAGGGCATGTGGCCGTGGTCTCAGCCCACCTGCGTGCCCACTTCCTCGCCCCGCCGCCTGCTGCTCAACACCTCGGCCAACTGCCTCTCGAACAACATCTTCGGCAGTTTGGTCAGATATGGCAACTGCCTGCCTCTGATGGCGTCTAAGGACTTGTTCCCGGGTGAGTGGTGGTTGGCTCTCGTTTTATGGTTTTCTGTTTGTTTATCTTTTTTTTGGGGGGGGTCATTTTTGGGGTGTCGGTTGGGTATCAGCCGGAGAAGTAATACCTTGATGATGATGATGATTATTATTATCCTGGATGGCTATCAGAAGAAGTAATACCTTAATTATTATTATTATTACTATTATCATCATGGATAATTATCATCATCATCATCATCATCACCTTGAGTACTATCATCACCACCATCCTCCTCCTCCCTTACCACCATCACCGTGACCACCACCACCACTCACCACCACTCACCATCATCCCTCTCCCCCCCCCTCCAGCCTTCACCACCACCACACCACTCACCATCATCCCCTCTCCCCCCCCTCCCCCCCAGCCTTCACCACCACCACCACCACTCACCATCATCCCCTCTCTCTCTCTCCCTCCCCCCCAGCCTTCACCACCACCACCACCACTCACCATCATCCCTCTCTCTCTTCTCTCCCCCCCCCCCCAGCCTTCACCACCACCACCACCACTCACCATCATCCCTCTCACCCCCCCCCCCTCCAGCCTCAGCCACCACCCTTCACCACCACACCACCCACTCACAATCATCCCCTCTCACCCCTCCCCCCCAGCCTTCACCACCACCACCACTCACCATCATCCCTCTCACCCCCCCCCCCGCCCCCAGCCTTCACCACCCTTCCCCACCACCGAAACCTAACGCCCCTTCCTTCTCCCCTTCGTCAGGAGGAGACAGACTCAAACCTTGCTTGATCGACGACATGATAGAAATTCCGGCAAAATCTGGTGGTGAGTTTTTTTTTTATCGTTATCGTTATCTCAGCTGTTTTACGTAATAGTTATCACCGGATAGTGTTATTTGGCAATGACCTTGAGATCTCTGTGTGGAGTTCGCTAACTGCCTTTCTTTCGTTGTCTATATGTGGATATTCTTCGTCTGTTTATATATATATGTGTGTGTGTGTTGAGCGAGCGTGTGTACGTATGTGCATACGTGCGTGCATATACATACGCGCGTTCTCTCATAATTCTCCACACGCATCCACACAAACCGCACTGACACATACACCCCCTTCCCCCTCCCCTCTCTCCCCTCTCCCCCCCCCCAGGCTCGTCCCCCTCCTGCCCCGAGATCTGCGACGCCGAGGAGTTCCGCAGCCGGGTGGTCAGCGCGCCCCTCAAGGCAGGCTTCTCGGCGTGGGCGCAGGAGGGCCACCCCGCCCACGGCCTCTTCGGGCACGCGGCGTCGGCGAGGAGGAGCGCGGCCGGCAGGGAGATCGAGTGAGTGCTGGCAGGGGCGTTGGCAGAGGTGTTGTGGAGTGTTGTTAGAAGTGTTGTCGAAGTGTTGTGAGGTGTCGAAAGTGTTGTTAGAAGTGCTGTAGAAATTGTTGAAGGGTTATCGAACGTGTTGTTAGAGGTGTTGTCAGCGGTGTTGTTAGAAGTGTTGTCGGAAGTGTTGTCAGAGGTGTCGAAAGTGTTGTTGGAGGTGTTGTCGAAAGTGTTGTTAGAAGTGTTGTCATGTTATTAGTCGTGTTGTCAGCGGTGTTGTCGGGTGTTGTTAGAAGTGTTGTCGTGTTGTTAGAGGTGTTGTCGGAAGTGTTGTCAAGTGTTGCCAGCGGTGTTGTTAGAAGTGTTGTTGTCGAAAGTGTTCTTAGAAGGTGTCGAAAGTGTTGTTAGAAGTGTTGTGGAATGTTGTTTGAAAGTGTTGTGGTGTTGTTAGAAGTGTTGTGGAATGTTGTTTGTTGTCGGGTGTTGTTAGAAGTGTTGTTAGAAGTGTTGTCAGCGGTGTTGTCGGAAGTGTTGTGGAGTGTTGTTAGAAGTGTCGGAAGTGTTGTCAGAGGTGTCGAAAGTGTTGTTAGAAGTGTTGTCGTGTTATTAGACGTGTTGTCAGCGGTGTTGTTAGAAGTGTGGTGGAAGTGTTGTCAGAGGTGTCAACTGTGTTTTGTGGTCAGGGAGAAGAACGTTTAGCGGCGTGTGTTCTGTGTAAGTATGGATGTATGGTCGAGTGTTCGTTGTTCAGAAGAATTTCAGGAAAATGATGATGATGGAATGACAATAACGATAATAATAGTATTAATGGTGATGATGATGATGGAAAATGAGGATTAACGTTATATTTCCTGTCCCATACACACGCAGTTGTAATAGAGAAGGAAAGTAAAAATGGTGATGATGATGGTGAATGACAATAACGATAATAATAGTATGTGCTGACATAACGATAATAATGTATTAATGGTGATGATGATGACAATAACGATAATAATAGTATTAATGGTGATGATGATGATGGAAACAATAACGATAATAATAGTATTAATGGTGATGATGATGATGATGTTAACGATAATATAGTATTAATGGTGATGATGATGATGGAATGACAATAACGATAATAATAGTATTAATATGATGATGATGGAATGACAATAACGATAATAATAGTATTAATGGTGATGATGATGATGGAATGACAATAACGATAATAATAGTATTAATGGTGATGATGATGATGGAATGACAATAACGATAATAATAGTATAATGGTGATGATGAATG